GTGGCTGTAGTGTCATCTCTCCCTGCTTCTCCATCCTTCTAGTACTTAGCAAATAAAAAATGCTCTATCTCAAACAGAGGAATCTGACTCAGACAAATCTAGATGGGGAGAGCAAAACTTCTGCTCAGTTTTCTCCCTTTCCTGATTTCTGAGTGCCTGATTTTGCAGTCTCAGTGGTGTCATATTCTTGACTTCATGTCTTTACTTCTAATTTCTTATTTTCTGCTTTGTGCTCCTTTACACGTTTTTGCTATTTTCTTTCTGTTACATCACTGTCTTTTTACAGACAACACACTTTACTTACTCTGTGAAAGTACTGAGCTGCCACCCACAACAGCTCACAAGATAGTTGCTTCCTCCAGACGGAGGTGAAATCTTGTGGCTTCCAGTTGCATCAAGGCAAGCTTACTGACTGTCCTGAGGTGCAGTTGTCTGTCCTATTACAGCAGCTGAATGGTCATTTGCATCTTGTTTATCCATTTGCTTGTATATGGGTAAGTAACCCTAAATCTGATTTCATCATTGTTCCACATTTAGTATGAGTTTTCATTATTTATTAAATGATATTTTAAAAAAATTCTCTGTTATTTCCAAGTCTGCTTGCACAAAAAAGAATGTCTGCCATGAATGCTCATAGTGGATACATGCAACTTGTTTTGAGCAGATGCAGTGCTTAAAGAACATTGTTTTTCCTTCCATGTGATTGGAAAGACTTATTTTCCCATAATATTCTTTCCTTAAACTAGACTTGGAGACCATGATAACCACATGCCAGAAACTGAACTTACAAGGAAAGGCTGAGGAACTGGGTCTCTTTAGCTTGAAGGAGACTGAGGGGTGACCTCATTAATGTTTATAAATATATAAAGGGTGAGTGTTAGGAGGATGGAGCCAGGCTCTTCTCTGTGACATCCAAAGACAGGACAAGGGGCAATGGGTGCAAATAGGAACATACACGTTTCACATAAATACTAGAAAAAACTTCTTCACTGTGAAGATAACAGAACACTGGAACAGGCTGCCCAGAGAGGTTGTGGCGTCTCCTTCTCTGGAGACATTCAAGACCCTCTGGGACATGTTCCTGTGTGGTGTAATCTTGGTGTTTCTGCTCTGGGGGATTGGTCTTGTCAATCTTTCAAGGTCCTCTCCAATCCCTGACATTCTGTGATTCTGTGATAGAAGTAAAGATGTTTTCTTTGGATTAGCTTTTCACCTCAGATGGTAACCAAAGGTGTGGCATATTGCTTGAGAATGAGTCCTGAGGAGGATGAAGCCTCCCAGAAGCCAAAGACTTCTGTGGTTCTTCCAGAAGAAGAGACAAACAGAAGGTGACTGCATCACAAAAAGCTTTTCAGCTCCTTACATTTCCGGTTTGCCTTAGGAAAGCAAGTCACTCAATTTCATTGCAAAGGAACTGATGTTGTAAGTTCTATACATTCCTCTTTCTCTGAATGGTTTCACTGCTTCTAGTGAGTTTTCTTGTATCTGAGTTGCTTCCTTCTCCTAACTGACTGCAGACTGTTTCACTGATAGTTGTGCTGGAAAGTCCGAACGTCAGAATATAGTTTGTCATTGCCTCAGAACTGTTTCTATCTGCCTGTAGGCAAGCCTATTCCCAAACATGGCAACCGCAATAAAAAGCAAAGTGTGCTTTCTATTTCATTTTCTTCACAGCACTGAACCACAAAAGCAACCAACGCTGTTCTTCAGGCACTGCAGCAAAAGACATATCACGCTCACCACAGGAAAGATACACCCTCAAAGGTTTCATCACTAAGGTTGATAACTCAAGGCTCAGCATCAGCTCGTGTCCACTACCTTTTCTTCACTTCTGACTTGTTATGAACGAGGAAAATAACATGAAATTTGAAGAACAGATCCATGTCTCTTCTAGGTAGTAAAGGTCAGCTAAAACAGCCGTGTCCTGTTCTTGCAGAAATCATTCACATGTTCCTCTAAGGAGACAATTCATTGGCTTTTCTGAAGAAGTTCAATAATCTATTCAGTGTACAAACAATTTGCCCATGATTCAGTTATATCCATCAATTATCTTTAATTTGTAAGAAAAAAAAAAATGGAGAAAATAGTACAAATTATTGCAAACATCAAGGATCTACTGTATTTACTGAACATGTGTGGTGAGGCCTGCCAACGTACAGAAATGTCATGTTATTTGCTGAGGACATCTCTTGGGACTTCAGTCTTCTTGCAGCATTCTCCAATCTAGTCCAGACTGTATCACTCACTCACTACCAAACATTCCTGGGATGACAGAAATCATAGTAGGTGATTTCTGTTTACCAGCTGAGCCTGTCTAAGGCTTATCTACTGTCCTTCTCTTCTCTGCTCAGTATGATAGACAGAAGCAAAAAATAAATGCCCAATGATCTTTCTCAGCAACTTACACAGTAGATAGGCTTACAACTTTCATTTTCATCAGATGCAACTATAGTCCCCATAGAGATGTTGTACTGAGTAGGAAGAGTAGGAAACAGAGCTTGATTGAAAACTGGCTGGCCCAAGCCATTTGTGTCCAGGAGAACATCAGTGTTGCTAGTACATTATTCATAATACATCAGACAGTTTGTCGCAATACGTCAGACCTTCCTTTTTCTCTATATCTCACTCCTCTATCTTGCAATACTGTAAGATTCTATTTGCACCAAGTAGAATCAGACAACAAATAGAGATCATCATAGAAGAGCTAAGCCATGAAAGTTACACACTATATTAACTAGGTATTTGCTTCAGCTTTTTTGTCTCTCTTCATGTTTCTGTAGTTAGTGAGAAACAGTTCTGTTGCTTCTCTGGAACTGACAGTATGAATCAGACGGTTTTTTCTCTAAAGATTAAGCATGTAGTTGAAGTCTTTTAGATTTTTGGTGTGATTTATTGATGGGCATGCTCAAGCCATCAGGACAAATTACTTCCAAAATAAAGCAGATAAGCAACAGCTGTTTAGTCGCTATTATATTTTTCACTGCCTATCACTGCCTATTTTTCACTTTTATGCTGTCAGAAACATGAACATTACTGCACCTGTATGGAAGTGGCCTCTCAGGGTTGCCAGCCTTTGTGATGCTAACAGTGAGTACCTCTACAAGGTTCCATGCCCGACACCCATCTTGTGTACACCTTTACCAAAAGCCCATGGATGATATGCTCTGCATCCTTGGAGTTATTCAAATTACTGGACCGGCAGTGAACAACCTGACATGCCTACTTTGAGCCATAAGTTATAACAGATGACCTCCAGAAGTCCATATCCTGTATTACCTTAATGTTCTGAACATGGATCAGGCTGTATGACCCATGAATACAACCACATTCCCATGGACAGTGCAAGCTTTACTCCTCCAAGTCTCAGGGCTTTTCCATGCCCTTGTCTATATCAGTGTTTAGGATGAGAAGCTGTTAAAAAAATTACAGCTGTTTTTGGCCTGAAGCAACAGTGAGATTATTGTATTTCCCAGGTTAATGTGAAAAGTTTAGAAGCCCTTCTGATTGTTAAAGAAAGGCAAAACATGGCCTACACTCTAAAGCATAAGGCACAGCATTAGGAGATACAGTCTAATCCTGATTCAGTAGCACACTTGCTGTGTTTGATCTATTTATGCCTTATCTTCTCAACATCTAATATAGGACTGGTAGGATATTACTCAGCTGAGATAAATTCAACGTTGTTTTGAATTTTTGCATTTAGATGTAGTGGAAAATCCTTTTTATTTTATGAGAAGCCTCACTAAATTTTAATATTGAATTTATTTTAAGTTTTAAACTGCAGATCACTGAAATCTTACAAGGATATTTTATAAGCTCAGCCAGTAATTGGAGCAATAGTTTCCTTAATAAAACTAAGAAGAAGAGTTAGACATCGCTAGGAATAGTGCTATTTTCCCACTCTACTACTTTTTATCTCAGAAAATCTTGACAGAGGGATAGTACAGAACATTTAATGAGCTTTTGAATTTAAAAGTCCCCAGGCATATCCCCTTAATTGGAAGAAAGAGAAATCCTTACTCTGAATATTTTCATTATTCATACTGAAACTCCTGGGAATGTATCTTCAAGATTTGAAGAGGAGTATGTTTGTTCTGCTACTTCCTATGTAGCCAGGTTCTGCAGATACACTGCTGCAGCACTGATACAAGGTTCATAAATTAAAGAGGGTGGAGGAATTCTTCTAGTGCTTTTGCATGTACCTCTGCTGCTTTGGCAGATTTTTGGTTACAGATGCATGCATTGAATACAGTTAAGAATATTGCCAATAGTTTACAGCGAAGAGAGAAATTATAATAGCAATTCCCTGCCAAAACCTCCTAATCCTCACATTACTTTTCATTTACAAAGGAGCCGATATTTTTCATTAATAAAAAGACTGTAGTGTACATACAGCACATTAGAACTTCTCTCTTTGGAAGACTCTATCATTCCAGAATGAGATAGAAATATTTCAAGAGTGCCAGAAAGCACTGAACCTGCTTCGTGTTTACTACATATGCTTTATTGCTGCAACATAAAGAAAGTGCCTGCAAGGCCTCTCAGGTCAATATGTTCACAATGTCAATCCTACATATGGGGCTGTGTCATCAGAGTGAGCACACTCAGACCATAGAGTGCACAAAATCTTAGTGCTGACTCACATTCAAGTGTTATCTGAGCAACTGAGGAAATGTGGAGAGACTGAGTGACCTTCACAGCACAGGAGAGATGTCTGTATCCATAAATCCACATACCTGCTTATAATGCTCACTCCTTTACATGCATTTTTTCACTTTCAATCCTAATAGTGCTCTTTCTTCCCTGCCGTTCTAATGGCTTGCAAGCAGATACATTTCACTTTAAATGGGCATTGAACAGAACAAGAATAATTAAAAAAGAAAACAAACCAAACAGACAAACACAATTGGTCTGAGCACACTTGTGGTTTATGGGCAGAGGATGATATTTCAGGAAGAAGAAAGAGCTTTGTTGCAAAAGCAGTTCCTCAGCAACACTTCTCTGTGAAGTCAGGGAGATGTGCAGAGTGAGGGAAGTCTCCTGCTATGCCACTGGAGAGTCTGCAGGTAAGTGCTGGAAAGGTACTCAGCACAAGTATTGAAGTTAGATGTGCAGAAAGAGAATTTTCTTCCCTCAGCTTGGAGAAGGGGAATGTTGTTATAATCAGATGAGAAGGCTGCAGATCTGGATGGACCATAAAGGTTCTTGGTGAGAGGTAAGCGTAATGCTTTAAACATAAAGCTGGAAGAAGATTTATAGGATCAAAGTTAGAAGTGCTTTAGGTTTTTACTTCTCTGGGGCAGTTGTGAATGTCAGATTTTGTGCAATTTTTGAAACAAAGCACAATACAGTTAGATGTGTATTGTGTTAATCAGGGAAAGGCATCTGGGATCCTTTTTAAACAACATCTCCACCTCCAAAACACTTCCCCAAGATTGATTTATTAAAAGGAAGCTTAACCTGGAAATACAAGAGTATTGTTAGTAATTTCAGCTGGTAATCTTTAAACAAGGAATAAGAAGGAAATTTCCATACACTTCTATTAGCTCTCTGACTGGCTTTGGTGAAAAAAAATCACCTCAGTTGCTGAGAATCCCAACTTTCCCTGATAGTCAGATGGTTGTAAGCTCTGCCATTTCCATGTAGCTTTTGGACACCTTCCCTGATGCTTTCAGTCACTTGTTCAGCCCTGCAAGAATGGCTAGTGAGTGGTTTAGCATCCACTTCTTCAGGCACTTTGAGAAGCTGATTTAGCCACTCGCTATCTGTTCTGATGCTGAATTTTACATCACTCTGCTCCTCTTGTTCAGTATGTGCAAGAGGCCATCAGGAAGTCAACAAAGGAATCGTGGATGGCAGTTTTTTTCTATGTTATTGATGCTGAAGAGCTTTCTCAATAGCCAGGAAGAGCAGCTAAGTGCCTTCCTCTGTGAACAGGGAAAAAAAAAGAATGGAGAGATGCATATAAATCACATAGAACAGTGGTGTGGCTGAAAAGAAGAGAAAAATACTCAGAAGGTACAAGCAAAGTGACCTGTGTCACTAAATGTTGGCTAATGAATACATATATAATTCAGGTACTTTGTTTGGACTCCGGAACTCTGCTGGTCGATCATGTACCAGGCTGATGATTTTTACCTCTGTAGGAAAAGTAGCAGCTTTTTTTCCCCACCCTTATTGTAACCCCACAGTTGAGAAGACAGGAATTAGCAGGATTATTTTCTCACCTTTCACTTTGAACTGCATCATCTTTGTGCCAATATTACCAGTAGAGGCACACAAATAACTTCCAGCAGGGAAAACTATGCTGTAAACTCAATGGCACCATATATAGCCTTCAGTATCCTGCTGCTGTCCAGGAGCTTCTCACTGCATGTCAGCTTAAATCTCCTTGTTGTTGTTCTTAAAACCCCCAGAAAGGAATCACCCCTTTGAATATGCTGTTTATATTTGGCCCAAAAAACGTGTGCCTGCTGCTCTGCAGGTTGTGCATCAAGCAGACTCATCTTGCTAAGAAAACTGCTGCAAGGACACGATGTTGTTGAAAAGTGGTGCTGTGCGTGGTAGGCTACTCTGCCTTGTCTCGTTGAATGATTCTATGCTATGAGCTTGCAATTCATTCTGGTATGTAAAGTTACTGGCCTTCTAAGTATGTTGTCAGAAGCAAATGAGTCTGAGAAGATCTTCCTTGCCATTTTATGTGTTGAAAATCTAGCAATACCTAACACCTCCCATGGTCCAAAACAATAGTTCTTATGCTAGCTGTTTCTGCATTTGCTCCTGGTTGGGCACCATAGCTGCATAGCTCATACCATAGCTCTTTCTACTCAGCCATGGTGACACCTTCAGACACAGAACGCTGTATCCAGTTCTGGGATCTCCAGTTAAAAAAAGGCAAGGATCTCTAGAAGTCCAGTGAAGGGCCACAAAGATGATGAGACCTGGGTCTGCTCAGCTTGGGGAAAATAAGACTAAGTGGGGATCTGATTAATGTTTATAAATATCTGTAGGGAGGTGGGAGGCAAATGGATACGGCCAGGCTCTTCTTGGTGTTGTGTAGTGATAGGACAAGGAGCAATGGCCTAAAACCTAAAACTTGAACAGAGGAAATTCCATACAAACCTGCAGAACTTCTTTATGTTGAGGGTGATGGAGCACTGGAACAGGCTGCCCAGAGAGGTTGTGGAGTCTCCTTCTATGGAGATATTCAAGACCCATCTGAACATCTACCTGTGCCACCTATTATACAGAACCTGCTTTAGCAGGGAGGCTGGACTCGATGATCTCTTGATATCTCTTCCAAACCCTGCAATTCTGCAATTCTGTGATTCTGTATAATTTCAGCCACACTTCAAATAGGCTAAAGTCTTTTAAAATGTTTAATTAATGGGCTGACTGTTATCACAATTAGCATCACATTTCAGCAAATACATCATGCTTATTATTAGAATAGAAGTCTCCAGATTTAATAGTAAAATGAGCCATTTGAACCCAAACAAGTCGATGTATTAGAGTTGCATGCACAGAGTGCCTCATTTCATTACACAGTCTTTACTTTTATTGGCCAGGAAAGGCTGTTGCAAATAGATATAACAGATATACTTCTTAAATGCAGTGCAGAACATTCACTCCCAGTGCATTCCTCATTTCTGAAAGATATATGAAGAACTAAATTCCTAAATTGCAACCTGCTGTCTTACCCAGCAGTAATACCAAAGTACTGTCTTTCACTGTGCTGATGTAGGGGAAGCACCTTTAGTATCAAAATAACAGGACTGGCAGTAAGATTTGCTTTTGGTACTTCTCCTATGCAGACAATCTAGGCTAATGTAGGGAGGTCATGTTCCTTGGCCTAACTAGAAAGCACATTTTAGTATACTTAATTATATATATATATGTATGTGGATATTCATCAGAAAAGTGATAGTTACTGTAATGATTCTTTTTTCTTGAATTCTATGATAGCATTTGGTTCATATCTGCAGTCAGAAATCAAATGAAACAAAATATCAGAGAATAAAACAGTATTAGCAATTGCAGGAAACATCTTCAGGACAAGTAGCAATGGACCTGTGCTGTATGTTTATAAAAAATATTCCTCCCTAATACACAATTCCTGCCTTAGCAGGCAGTTAGCAGGAGGCTAGTACATAATTCAAACAAATTTTAGGGTAAGCACTATTTTTTTAGGTGAAGAGAATGTGTTTCTCTTCTCAGAAGGACATGTATACGTGATTTGCATGGCAGTGCACATGTGATTTCATTCTCTGCAGTCTAATGTCAATGTTATGGCAAAAGTAATGCATCTCCTTGTCAATCAGCTCCTTCCTCCATTATTATTATTTTTTTAATCTTGGTGAGAAAAAGCTCTGATAAGTGAATTCCTGTGCTGGATTCCCTATGAAAGGAGAATCTACAGAGAAAGCTACTGGTATGTGAGAGATGCAAACTGGTAAAATCCCACAGAACAAGATAACATTAAAGCTGGTGATAGACTACTGGAAAAGTGCAGCTATTAAAAATAAATCACACAGCTTCTGTAAAGGCCCCTTTAGACCAGATTCAGCACAGATAGCTTTTGTCTGTAGTTCTGATGGCTCTTGCCTTCCTCATTAACAAACACTGTAGCCAAAGCAGAGTGCCAACAGAAAACATAGGTATGGAGAAGGCTAATTATTATAATTAGAACAGGGTTTGTTTTTCTAGGTTTGAGATCCTTCCCCACACTATCAAAGTAGTGCAACAGATCTTTATATGGATTTGGTTTTGTTGCTGTTGTTGCTGTAGTCCTCTAGTGAGAGATCTGGGTTAGGGAAAGACCTGAACAGAAATTGTAGACAGTTTTGCTGATACACTGTTCAACACGGAGTGAGGTGCAATTTCAGAGCTCGCAAAGAAGGGAAAGTTAATGAGAGAGACTGAGAGTGAAGTGGTCTTTCTCTACACCCCTTTGGCTCAGGTATTTTTAAGCTAATGTCTTTTGAGTAATGATGCCTGGGGATAGTATGTTGCAAAATGTTTTGTTGCTAGAAAAGGGAACTAGTAGGGAAAACCCAGACACCTTTCTATTTCTCACAGCGGCTTGAATTTATCTCTCTGCTGTGCAAAGATGTGCGAAATGAGGAATTGCAAGTCACATTTTCTTCCTTATACTTTTTGCAAAATGTTCTTTCAGATGTGTCACAGGCAGTATTTCTCTCTCATAGGATGCTTTATGCCACCTGGTTGACAGCCATAAACCACAACTGCTTCACAACCCAGATAGAGACATTTTAAGAAACCTATTGCCTACAAAATGTTTTTGGCTGATACTGATACTGAACATTTTTCTTTTCATGGATAATGATTATATTTCTATTCAGGCGCTTGAAGTAATAAGGCACATTAGAAATATGAGTCAGAAATGTAATTGTCTTAGTAGCAACTAAAAGTTAATCTAACTGCATTCTAAATTTCAGTTATTCCTATTAGCAGCTGATCTTTTGCTTACTGACAAATTGCAATTAACCTGTCACAATTAGAGCTTAATTACTGATTCAGCCAGTTCTTACATCAGGACCTGGTCCATATCTGGCATAGGACAGACTCTGAACAGATCTCAGCTTTGAGCAAGGAGGACAGGATGTAGCAGAAGATGCTTTCTCCATGTGTCATCCTTGTACCAGTCACTACCCTTGCTTGAGGACACTGCTTTGACTCATCATAAGAAAAGGTGTGTGGAACACGACCATGCTTGGGATTTGTCATACTACAGATAAGTCTAATAAAACCTGTTCTTTCAGTCAAACATACATGGAAATGCAATTTTTTCCCCCCAGTTTATCAGAGGATAGATTAAAATTGTATCAGTTGTGAAGAAACTAAACCTTGTTTTATCTGGACAGTTCCATGGTATCTCTATTGCAGGATTTTGGAAGGTGGTTTCAGAGGAAGCTGTCTTCATGACATAGTTGCTATTGGATGATTTATATTCAGGAATAACTCAAAGGAAAATTGAAGAAGCAGGACTTTAATTTGCTGTCCAACTGCCAGCAGATGCCATCTACCAGCGGTACCATCAGTGAAA